CTTAATGCAGTTCACTGGCGTGTTTGCTTTTGTTGAAACACAAGTATAATATATGAGGAAAAATGCTGTTTCATAATTAAATAGGAAAATAAGCTGAAGACAGAAAGTTTTGGGAACAGTAAAAGATTTCAGGTTATTATTTACTGAATCTGAAAGATCTGAATTAATGCAGAGTTTTTTAGTTTTGTTTTTTCTTTCCTGGGACATTCAGAAAGGGAGGGCGGGTACTGTTCAATGAAGGTGCATCCTTTCATGTTAGACAGTGAGTTATGTAATACAAATATTTCAACATAATATAGAATAAGTTAATACAAGCTCAACTATATTTAAGGTCACTGTAGAAGATAAAAAGAAGCCATGCTTAGTGTGTGTTGTCTTTGTTCAGTAGCTGCTTTCTAAAATGTGTGGCTCTAATAAATTTGCCTAGTCATCATTTGATCAGAAGGATCTGTATGGATGACATCTAATGTAGAGTTGCCTTTCAAAAGGGAAAAACTTCCTCAGTGTTGTTTGTGACTGAAAGGACACTGCTGTTCCTCCATTTTCTGTAGATGAGTGTTCATCCTTGTGGCATAGGTAATACAGGTTTCCTAAATTTGTTGGCTTTTTTAAATGGAACAGTTACGTAGGCATATTGGCATTTCATCTTGCTCTGATGTGTAGGAGTGAGAATTTCAAGTAATACCAGCAGGAAGGTGTTTGCGGTGCTTACCTGCATCCTAAAACTAGTTTTCTGTGTTCACTGACTTAAGTTTGACTTCTCATTCTTTGCTGTCCCTGCTGGTCTCAAGCTCTTCTGAGATTTTTGTCTTTCGTCCCCCTGTAGAGGTTTGCAGATAACATCAGTGTCCTTACTCTCAAATATAAGTGACTGTGTGCTCAGTGGTAGTGCTTTGAGCAGAATCTGAATGAAATGTGACCATGTATGCTGCTTCTCAGAAGCTACTTCTTCCAGACTGGCATGACACGATGCAGCAAAGCAGTGCAATCACATGTGTCAAGTAGTTAACATACTGCCAAAAATCAATTAATTTTAACCCTCCCCCCTTCTCCCCCCAACAGAATTATCTGCACTTTGCTCACCTCAAAGATTTCAAGAGTACTGCCTTGCTCTTTGGTTTTCTTTTGCCTCAGTCTTGTAACCTGACAAAACCCTGCTGCTCTACTGATACCGCTTGCTGTGTCCTGGCAGGTCAGCCTTAGTGACCGACTATGTAAGCATCGATTTGATACAGAAGCCATGCAGCAGGGAATTTGTTAAAGGCATAAAGCCAGAAAAGCTGATAAGTAAGCATAGTTCAGAAGTGTAGTGTTTCTTTTGTCCTGCACTTAAAATGACCAGGTCAGATGCTACAAGAAAAAAGAAAAAAGGAACTGTTAGATGTTCTGCTGAAGCTGGTATGGATCTGAAAACTCACACAGTGACAGGATCTTAAAAGTAAAAAGCCAAACAAAACCTAAAAGTTTATTAAGAGCTAGGTCAAACCAGTACAAGTTGTGGTGTGAATTCCTCAGTTTGTTTTTTAAATGGCCTGCCAGATTGAGTTTGAGAAACTGCTTAGAGTAACTATTGTAGTTTTATAGTTTAGTTTTATGGTGTGTTTCAAACAGGGGAGGGGCAGTAATTTTTGCTCTGATTTATACAACTAAAGGCATAGGTTAAAAGCTAGACTTGCAAATACTTGAAAGCCCTTAATTCCACTGTTTAAAGTCAAGGTCTTGCTTGACTGTAGCCAGAGCTTGACTCTGCTTGCAGAGCCTTTCTGCCACAGTTCAGTAGTAGTATCTGAAAGAGAAGAATAACTTTCCCTCAACTAAGTATATATTTGGTTATTGTCATCCTGCCAGAGCTGACAGCTATTTGGCTGACCAGTCTGACTTGAAACTGAGCTATTCTTAGTGCTTCCAGATCAATAATCCTGTTGTTTAGAATAGGCTGTCTGTAAATATTTTGCTAACCGTACATTATTAGGAGTTTTGAAGTCTTACTGCTAGTCTTATAAGCAGCCCTAGTGTGCTATCTTGCTGAAGAATAATACTCAGCCTAGGCTTTTTGCTGGGAGAGTGGCAACCTTCTTGTGTAGGAAATTTAACATGCAAAGCACATTTTTCTTAAATGGGTCATTCCTCTGAAATCCAGTGTAAACACGCTTTATAAATTGACAGCTGAGAGAGCTGCAGAATGCCACCTATAAGGCAGTGTTTATCTTCTCTGTTTGGTGTGCTGTGGCTGTGTACTTAGTAGATGCACTGGTAATTCGGCCATTAAGTTGATCCTCTAATAACTACAAACCAAGAAATAGAATCATAGAATAGTTAGGGTTGGAAAGGACCTTAAGATCATCTAGTTCCAACCCCCCTGCCATGGGCAGGGACACCTCCCACTAAACCATCTCACCCAAGGCTCTGTCCAGCCTGGCCTTGAACACCACCAGGGATGGAGCATTCACAACTTCCCTGAGCAACTCATTCCAGTGATTCACCACCCTTACAGTAAAGAATTTCTTCCTTATATCCGATCTAAACTTCACCTGCTTAAGTTTTAACCTGTTACCCCTTGTCCTGTCACTACAGTCCCTAATGAAGAGTCCCTCCCCAGCATCCCTGTAGGCCCCCTTCAGATACTGCAAGGCTGCTCTGGGGTCTCCACACAGCCTTCTCTTCTCCAGGCTGAGCAGCCCCAACTTTCTCAGCCTGTCTTCATACAGGAGGTGCTCCAGTCCCCTGATCATCCTCGTGGTCCTCCTCTGGACTTGTTCCAACAGTTCCATGTCCTTTTTATGTTGAGGACACCAGAACTGCACACAATACTCCAAGTGAGGTCTCACAAGAGCAGAGTAGAGGGGCAGGATCACCTCATTTGACCTGCTGGTCACGTTCCTTTTTATGCAGCCCAGGATATGGTTGGCTTTCTGGGCTGTGAACACACACTAAAAGGAAATGGGAAAGGGATTGTTCTTCCGTCATAACCTTCCTAGAAACTTTATAGGAATGAAATGGCCTTATTCCTGCTACTTGCTTGATAGTGTAATTTTACAGCATTTTGTGATGTGTAAAAACAGCGCTGATGCGAGGATAATGGCTCCTGAACAGCACCTATACAGCTAATAGGTTTAAATGTTTTGGTTCTGTTGTTTGGGGTGTTTTTATAAACTTTGACAGCAGTGCCTTGTAGGCAGAGACTATGACAGATTTCCTTGGAGCCTGTCTGCTGTAAGATTGTTAGGAGTCATATCTTTATTCATAGGTTAGTGCAACACAGGAGACTGGCTGATGAAAAATTTGAGCCTATGGACAAATGGGATGGTTTATAAACCTAGGGGAAGTTCAGTGTCTTGCTGTCCAGGCAGCGCAATAATGAAAGCTTGAAAAGCCAGTTAAAATGTGCAGTTGTGTTGTGTTTTAAGCCCAGCCGGTAACTCTGAGCCATGCAGCTGCTCATTCACTCCCCTTTTCTTTTCCCCCTCCACTCAAGGGAGGGATGGGAAGGAGAATCGAAAGAATGCAACTCCCACAGGCTGAGATAAGAACAGTCCAGTAACTTAGGTATCATACAAACCACTACTTCTACCAACAATAATAATAATAAAGGAAGTAACAAGGGGAGAGATTATAAAACTAAAAGTGGAAAGGGAAAAAAAAATAAATACAAGTGATGCACAATACAGCTGCTTACCACCTGCCAACCAGTACCCAGCCTGACCTGAGCAGCGATCTGGGCCTTCTGGGTAGCTCCCCCCAGTTTCTATACTGGACATGATGTGCTGTGGTATGGAATATCGCTTGTTTGGATCAGGTGTCCTGTCTCTGCTTCCTCCTGACTTCTTGTGCCCCTCCTCACTATCAGAGCATGAGACTGAAAAGTCCTTGATTGGCGTAAGCATTACTTAGCAACAGCTAAAAACATCGGTGTTGTCAGCCTTGTTCTCAGACTAAAGTCAAAAACACAGCACCACACCAGCTTCTAAGAAGCAGTATTGTTAAGTTTTACAAATCGCTTTTTACAAGAATTGCTACAGCTTAATCCAGGGCAAGTTGGTTAACTTGCCCTGTGACTTACTAATAGTCCATATCTTTACATGTCTTTAGGAAGACTGTCCAGAAATGGTATTCTGTGTTTTACCTCAAAACTTTGTAGTTTGCAAGCCAATTTCACATTTGCACTGTGAGGTAATGTCCAGACAAGGACATGATGCACTTCTTTTTTCCTCTCCTTTTTCACCCCACAGATTTTTCTGTACATAGTTTTGGAACTGACCAAAAGGAAATAAAGTCCTAATAGATTTAATGGGTTTCAAAACTGTATCATAGAACATGTCTCACATTGTTTTCTGTCCCTCTTTTGCCTGTCTTGAAACTTTATGGTAACTGTTTTGGTCTGCACCTGGCTCTTAAGTCCTCCATGTAATGTGTGTTGTGGCTTCTGATCCAGTTAGTTTCCTAGAGCTCACTTGTATGAGAAAAGGGTGGTTTACCTGGGAAAAGGAATGCGGGCAGCAATTACAGCTAGACTGCTGTTTCAGAGTGGAAGTGATGCAAGGGCAGTAGGACAGGAGAGCAGAGAACTTGTAGCTTTGGGAGCCAGCTGTCTGAAAGTGTAGGTCTTTGCAATGAGCATTTTCTCTGTTTCATGTGGGAGTTGTGTGCTAAGCAAAATTCTTTGGGTTTTCTTGTGGGGTTTTCTTTTTTTTCTTTGGGGGGTGTGTGTGGCTTTTTCAAAAGGTAGATAATGGGGGAATGGACTGCTGAGGTGCAGAGACTCAAGCACTTCAATAGAGAAGTTCAACTGTTAAGGTTTTTCTGAGTTCTTTGGCTGCAAAGTCTATTTTGGACTCATTCTTACATTTCAGGACAGAAACTACTGGGTTGAAATGTGCTTAAAAATGTTAGTAAAGCTAAGTGGTGTACTGGAGAGGTGGTAGATACAGCATTAACCTGCTTGTTTTGCATGGAAATCATTCAAATATGCAACTGTGAAAGAACAGTTCTTTTTTTGACAGCTGTGGCAAGCCCTGTTTTGTGGCAGAAGGACTGTGTGAAGGGTCCAGAGGTATGGTGTCAGAGTGTTCGGACAGCATCACAGTGTGGAGCGGTGAAACACTGCCAGCAGAATGTCTGGAACAAGCCTACTGTAGTAAGTGTTGACTACTGAGACTTCTTCTCACCTGTAGTTGAGTTTCCATATGCTGATAAAGATTTTTTTAAAGTCTCTGATCAGAGTTAAGTGCTACATCTGTCTGTGCCTTGGATACTATGCCTTAATTTGGGTCCTAGATAAAGGTTGCTTTCCACTTCTCTGACTTGCACAACTTGTCTGCTGACTTTTCTTGTGACCTGTTGCACAATCACCAAGTGATGTGTGGAAAGGAGCTAGTGTAATTGAGACTTGTTCCTCTAGCAAACTTACTCCTAATTCATAGAGCCTTTTCTTATTCTTTATTTGGACAATGCCAAACTGATAGGCCTATTACAAAAAAATATTTGCTTCTTTAGGTCTTATAAGTTGATGTTCCACAAAAGATGCAGCATATACTAAGTTATGAAAGCAATAACAGTAAATAATAGTACATTTAGTGTGGCTTTTCAAGTTGCATTTGTATTAAATATGAGTGCTGCTTTACTAGATGCAGCTGTAGTTTGTGGTATTGGTTCACAATTTTCTAGGGGGAAAAGGCATTGTAGTTAAAGATGCATTCAGTCTACCTTGGCTATATCTGTCAAGATACGTTTCAGTTTGTGGAAAAGTAGGGAAAGGGAGGTACGTCAATGGCAGAGCACAGCTAAAATGTGTGAAGTGTCCTGAAAAGTTCTTAGATTTCTAGTAAGTGTGAACTCTGAGGAGTAAGGTAAAAGAGGTTCAGGAGAATGATTCTCAAGGCAATATACATTATACTTCAAGGAAGGTGAAACTAGATGAAATGAGTAAGTGGTAGCATGCCTGATTCTTCATACCATGTTTATGTACTGAAGAAACTGGAGCTGAACATGCTTGGAATAGCCTCGCTATTTAAAAACATCTTTCCACCCCAGTTGCATTTCTTCCTTAACTTCCATTCCAAACGTGATACTCGTTCTTTACATTGTTATTTGCACACTGCATTTACAGGTACTTAAGTCTGTCTTAAACTCTGCTTCCTTCTCCAGAACAGTATCCCCTGTGACTTATGTAAGGAACTTGTGACAGTAGCTGGCAAGGTTTTGAAGGATAATGGCACTGAGGTAAGTACAGCTCCACTTCTCCTTGCCCATAGGCATTATTTAATTTCATTGTCTTAAGATCACAATGTGAGGGGTGAGGTGGTAGAAGGGGGGTAGTCTGTGTGATTTTTTTTTTTTTTTTTTTTTTTCCCTCCAACCTAAGCAGCAGATGTTGAAAATGGCCAGAGTACATGGGGTAAAAGGCTTTTAAACAGCCTTTTCTGGCTTAGAAATTAGCAAATCCTCTCATGCTCTAACATCCCTGGTTGACTGTAGAAGCTTAATAATTTTTTTCCTTGTGCCAGTGGGCCATCAGTCTTCAAAGGTGGGATACTGCAGTCCCTAGACTACACCAAGTAGGCTTTATTCTGGTTGTGGGTGCTTCTTCCCCTTTTCTCTTGTGAACCTGAGAGTTATATAAACAACTCGCTGTCCCATTGGTCTGTAATTTCACTTCCTCTTCTTAAATGTAAGTGATCTATGCTGGCAAGACTGTGTTGTGCAGGCTATGCAAGCAGTATTTCATTTTCACTTTGTCAGGGTCTCATCGATCCAGGCTCCAAGCCTAGGGAAAATAGAGCTACGGTGTAAAACTGCATTGTAGTTTTGCTTCCCAGCTGCTTGGACCTTGTATGAGTTCAAGGGGGTTTTCTTGGGGGAGCTTGTTACGTGTTTTGGGAATGAAAGAGCGTTTGATACAGACATACTTATATATTTTGATAGTCTGTAGCCCACCTCATCTTTTATAGGATGAGATCCGCTCTTACTTGGAAAAGACATGCGAGTTTCTTCCTGACCAAGGCCTGGTCTCTGAGTGCAAAGAAATTGTGGATTCATACCTACCCGTTATCATGGATATGATTAAAGAAGAGCTAGTAAGTAGATAAGTTTGCAACTGTTGGAATTAAAAGTTTTGTTCCTGTCTATGCCTGAACTTCTCTTTCATAGAATTTCTCTTTCAAGATTGTGCATATGACTTTTCAGTCTTGTGTGGATCACTGGTGTTGCAATTAATGGTGTAAGTTTGAAAACTGCTTCCTTGCTGTGAAACACTTCCATGTTTCAGCTGAATGACTTTATACTCTGAACTTCATGTAAAAGTGCCATCAGTCTAAGGCTTTATGTATGTATTGTATCTCCCCTAGGATAAACCTGAAGTTGTATGTAGTGCCCTTGCGCTGTGTCAATCCCTTCAGAAGCACCTTGCAGCAGTGAAACTTCAGAAACAACTCCAGTCAAATAAGATACCAGAGCTGGATTTCTCTGAACTGGCATCCCCATTCATGGCTAATGTGCCTCTTCTCCTTTACCCTCAGGACAAGCCCAAGCAGAAGTCAAAGGTAAGGGTGCAGTGCTATTCCAGTGTGCAATTGAAACTCTGAAGCAAAACATTTGCTCTTCAGTGCTCCTTTGCATAACAACTTCTTGATGATTCTCAGTAAGGGATTGCTGTACTGGGTACTTAATAAGCTGATATTTCTCACCTGGATGACTGCCTTCTGTTGAATTTTGTGCTGCTGCATAAAGGCAACTACCTTTTGCCTTTACCTGTGGGTTTAAAGCTAAGTAAGATGATAGTTGTAGCCCCTGGGGACCATGGGTATAATCCTGGATTAACAAACACAGTTTATAAAGACAGGTCTTGTGCTAGGCTGTTCCCATCCAGGACTGTATAAGTCGAGCAGGCCTTACTGGGAAAAAATTTCTTCTGTGAGCAAGTCTGACACCAGTGTTTAAAGGAGGAAGAATTCTCTGGCATTCTGAGTAATCTCCTATATGTGCCCTTCGGGGGAAGCATAGTCTCTCAATCCAGAGGTGACAGACTGAATCAGAAAAGAACAAATAGTTGATAAAGGGGAGTAGATGAGACAATGAACTGGTGAGTAGAGGCTGCATCTTGATAGGAAGTATAGATACAGGAGTTACACAGTCGTGGGTGGAAAACAAGCTGCAGTGTATGGAGCATGTAACATATATGCCAGACTTGGTCTGTAACAAAGCAAAGAGATTTTGAAGGTTGGATATCTTAACGGGTATCTTGGGTTTCAGAGCTAAGTAGGTACCTGATCTCCATCTAGTGGCTGGTGCAAATACCAGCAGTAGCTTGTCTATTTATATTAGCTTAGGCTTTTAAGTATTCTATGGAGTATTAGTTAAGGTTTGTATACAGTTTAAAATAGCTTTTAAAACTTGGTAGTAGCAGAAGCTTCTAAAATGTGTTATGTGAAGGTATGTCAACTTTTTTCCTTTCACTCTTTGTCTAGGGAAGTGGGGATGTATGCCAAGATTGCATTAAGCTGGTTACTGATGTTCAGGAAGCTGTGAGGACAAACTCATCTTTTGTAAAGTCTTTGGTTGCTCATGCTAAGGAGGAGTGTGACCGTTTGGGACCTGAAATGTCTGATATGGTAGGCGCTTTTTTTGTTGTTGTTTAAAAATGTGTTCCTGTGTGCACACATAAAACAGTTTGTTCAGTGCTTTCATCCTCTCAGCATAATCTCTATTTAGTGTAACTAAAGAGAGTGTGTCACATGTAGGATATGTTACATGGTATAACAGTAAAATAATAAACATAAAAGTTATAAACAATATAACAGTGAAATAATAAACTTTCCGGTCAAGAAAGCTAGGTGGGGTGGTGTGTATGGGACTGGGGAGGAGGAAAAAGACAAGAGAGTCCTGCTAGCCTTTCAGGGCCTTTTTCATAAAAATGATCTGGCAGGGTAATGTGGTTGTATCAGTGAGGGAGAGTGCTTTTGCCCTAAGAGGAAGAGAGAAGGACTTACCAAATAAGCAGCCATGTGTGCAATGATTGTATACCTTGAAATGCCATCTTATATTTTGGGACAAGGTCTGAAAGACAACAGAATAGTCAACTAATATCTTGAAGTATTAGAAAATTCTAATTTAACTTTACAGCTTAAATGGTTTGATATTTACAAGACTTTCTTTTCTCACTTCCTGCAGTGCAAGAACTATATCTCTGAATATTCTGACTTGGCTATCCAAATGATGATGCACTTGGTAAGATCAATAGAACGTAATATTTGCTCTTAGTTCATTTTTCTAGTAAGTTCAATCTTAGAATGCTTTCTTTAGTGCTTTCCTCTTCTTTCACAACCACTTTAGTGGTGCAAAAGCAATTTTATCTGTTGAAACGCAGGAGATGCATTACCTATGTGCCTTGATACTCTTATCTCAGTCCTGTGCTTACACTACTGCCCTCCCCACCAAATACTGTTAAGCGTATTAGTTGGTCCTTGTCATATTACAGCAAAATTGATTCTTGTATTAAAGATAATGTGTCTATTTAGAGCAAGACTAAATGTCCTTCTTCTGGAATTGCTGTCTCTAGACTCCTTATAGGATTCGTGGAAAGGGTAGGAGCCATGGAGAGTGCGCCAGCTCTTGTCTTCTGTAGCAACGTATAAAATATCTTATCTCTGACCACCTTCATGGCACCTCTTTATCCAGTGATCTCAAAGCCTTTAAGAAAAAAGGCTAAGTCTTTCCTTAGAGAGTGCAGTGCCTGGATGCCTCAAGTAACATAACAAATTAGAGGTGAATTTATGAATAGAGTATGCAACAGACTTGAACCTGAATTTGGCAACATAGTGACTGTTGTTGCTTTTTTTGTGGTGTTTTCTTTTCTTTTGGTTTGTTTAAGTTTCTAAAGGCTACTTAGAATTTTACACTGCTTCTTAAGCATTTGGAGGAGAAGCAGATCTTCCAAATACAGTTAGTTTCTCATTTTAAGCATTGCATTGCAGTGTGGTGTTAATACCTGAAACTGGAATGTGACCACACCTTGCGTCTGGCTGAGTGTTCATACTCTTTGGGACTTGTCTTGCCCAGGGTGCCTTAATAACTTTGAATGGATAATGCTGGTTAGCATTGTGCAACTAAATGAATTGCTGTAGCAATGCTAAGGATCTTTTGGATGGGGGACCATGTCATATTCCATCATTTTCATGGACGGTATATGCAGTTCCAAGTGCCTGACATTTTTTTCTCTTAACTGTTATCTTTAATTTCTCCTTTCTTCCTCTATCTCCAATCTTCCCTGTCAACAGAAGGATCAGGTAGGTGAGCAACTTGCCTGTGGTGATAGCCTGCTTGTAGTTCATTTCTTGCTCTCAAAGGGCTTGTAGTTCACTTCTTGCTTGAATAGCTGTTTACGTGGTGTGATTGTACTCAGTGTTGACAGATACAAGGGATATTTATGTAATTAAAATAGGAAAGACTATAGATTTCTCCTCCAGTGGTCATTCCTACTTCCAGCTCCAGATACCAGTTTGTGCTACTAAGATTTCAGCTTGATTAGGCTTTGGGCACTAGAGCAGAAAATATGCTCACTCTTGTACAAGAAGGATAGATGTAGAAGAAGCATGCCAGTGGCTGTCAGCTTCTGGTTTGAAGTCTGGGCTCAAAAGGCCTAAAGTGAAGCTGTCCCCAGGGCTTTTCTTTCTTAACCCTTAAATCTTGGAGAATGGTATAGATGTTTGGAGTACATGAATTGAAAAGAAGATGTGGGAGGCCTTTAGGGTCCTGCTTTCTAGAGCTGTTTGGGCTTTTAATTTAACCAGCCCTGGGAGACCTTGTGTCTGTCATCTCTCTGTGAGAGAGCATGCTGTGTGTATGTGCGTGTTGCTGTAACATTAATATCTGTAAATGCTTCTTACAATGCATGAACCAAAGGGCTTGACTTAAAGATATTGCCTGGAGTAGTCTGAAGCAGCACTATATCTTTGAGATACTGCTTTTGCCTGTGCATGAGGTTGTGGCATGATGTATTAACTGTTGCATAAGCTTCTGCTGTAAGAAGCTTGATGCCTGGGTGACAGGGTACGATCTTCTAATTATTTGTAGGACCAAAGGTAACTTTTTTAGCTAAGTATTCAGGTGTGAAAATTCAAGTTTTGCATATTACTTTGGACAGCCTTTCTCACTTTGTGTAGATGTAATGTGGCCGCCTTAGAGCAGTTTACCTCATATCCGGCATTTACATTTTGCATTTAGTAATTGTCTAATTAGCTGCAGACTGAACTTCCACTTGTGGGGAAGAAGAGGGGGCAGCGAGTGAGCAGCTGCATGGTTCTGAGTTACTGCCTGGGCTTAAACCACAACAGTAGTATGTTTTTTAAAACCTTTGAGAGAGGGTTTGTTTCTGTTTGGTGTTTACCCTCTTACTGTGATAAGAACACTTGAAATAGTTACCTCTAATGCTTGTAAAAAGCTTAGGTTTTAACATGGTTAATCTTTGTTTCTTATAGGCTGTTTTCAGTTATGCGGAAATGTGTTTCTTTTTGCAAAATGTGATGTTACTGGATGCTTTAAAGAAGGTAGTTTGTGGATGAGAAAAGGAGTCCTTTCTGCTAGCATTTCTTTCAGCTTTTGGGTGAACTCTGGAGTCAGGATGATTAGTCTCTTCTGTGATTACTTTAAAGCTTTCAGGGGAGCAGCTTTGTGGATGCAGATCTAATGTGATGCTGGTGGCCTGTTTTGGTGTTGGTAGCTCTTAAGTCAACTCCTTTGAAGGGCTTGCATAGCTCGTGATAAATGGGGTTTTCAGATGGATGTGGCCTGACCTTTTCCTTGTCAAAGGAAAGATGCTAAACTTCATCTGATAGTTGTCCTGCCTATAACCATATCAAATGCTTTGGCGATACTCGAAGTAGAAGTAGTCATTAAACTTCTAGTTACGTTGGAGCCTTTTAAAACTTTGTGCCTACTCACAGGCGCCATAGAAAGGGCAGAGTCTTCTAGGCTTTTAAAAATTGCTTATACATCTCTTTCCAGCAACCAAAGGACATTTGTGCCATGGTTGGGTTCTGTTCTTCTGTGAAATCTGTTCCCCTTCGGACTCTGGTACCAGCTCAAGTGGTTCATGAAGTAAAAATGGAAACAGTGGAGGTAAGGTAGACTTTCTGTGCTCAACATCTTTACCTTCCTTTTTGCTTTATTTTAATGAAATAGTTGAAATAGAAAAATACTGGCTTTTATGTGTAGAATAATCTAAGTCTCCCTGCATATAAATTCCTGGCCACCTCTTGTTTCTGATGCTGATCTGTGAAGTAGGAGAGCCGATTAATTTGTTAGAATAGCAAAGCCTGCGTTAAATTGAAGCTGTATGGTAATGGTTAGGATTAAAATGGGAACTCCTTCTCCAGTAGTAGTGTATAGTAGGCATTCTAAATGACACCTCAAATGTTACAGGGAAAACTGCTGAATTTTAATTTTTCTCTACGTTTGGAGTTATGCTTTGATAACATTTAAAAATGGGTTAGCACTTTGCATGTGCAGATGAGTGATCACAGAATGCTGAAGCTCTTGAGCTTGGAGAAGCACCTTAGCTTCTCATGGCCTTTGAACAAGACTTGGGCTCAGGGTTTTTAGGAAAGAGGAGTCTCTTGAGGTCAATTAACTTATGATTAACAGGCTCCAAACAATTTCCCTCAAGTCCCTCAATTTCTGTGTTTTTTCTAGAAGCAAGAGTTGTGTTATCAATGTATTGTAATAAACACTTCAGACTTTCCTTGACTCCAGTCACTGTGGGGATGTTTGTTTCTCCATGTCTACTAAATTCAGCTCCCCTCCTTATACAGCCTGTGGATTGCAGTCTTAATTGTCATGACTGCTCATTCAGAAAGGGTTTTTACCGAGACTTTTAAGGTTGGTTTTGTGTTCTGTCTGACCTTCTGAATCCAGCTCAAACTGGCCAGCTTGGTAAATGAATAAGTGTGCTGCACCTGAATGTGAATGCTGTTAAACCGATCTTTTACAAATTGTTCCTGTCAAATGGTCAAGTGCCAATTTATTGTTTTGTGTTTCTTCTGTGTGTGCTCAGAAAGCCTCAGTTCAAGAGAAAGCTCTTTCCTTGTGTGAGATATGTGAGACCATGGTGAAAGAAGTGACTGGCCTTTTGGAGAGCAACAAGACAGAGGTGTGTAAGTGGTGGAAATGGTACTTCTTCCTAGGCTTTGGCTAAAGTGGGGCCATAGGGTGAAGGAAAGTTATTTTCGTCTGTTTTCATGAGAGCAAGTTTTCCATCTTGGGTGGGACAGAGGAAGAAAACATGCACTAATGAATAGAGATTTTTGTTCCTCATTTGCCATATATGCTTCATTATGCTTCAGGAGGAGATTGTACATGAAATGGAAGTGGTCTGCTACCTATTCCCAGCAAGTGTCAAGGACCAGTGTAAGGACTTCATTGATGTCTATGGCCAGGCTTTGGTCGACATGCTCTTGGAGGCAACAAATCCTGAAGCTGTGTGTGTTATGCTGAAATGCTGTGCTGCCAACAAGCCTCCTCCACCACCACCAGGTTGGTAATGAGGAGTCAGTGGTGTTGCAAAATGAGCTGATTCACCTATGATTATTATATCTCATTTGAGAACATGTGCTTTAGTACTTTGCTGCCTCCTTTCTTCTATCTGAGGGAACTACCTAACCACTTGATTTTTGATGTGGGTTTTTTTTTCTCAGTTGTAGTGAGACCTGCAGGTGGCTTCTGTGACATCTGCAAGATGGTGGTAGCTTATGCAGACAAAGAGCTAGAGAAGAATGCCACAACAGCTGAAATTGAAGCTTTACTGGAAAAAGTCTGTCACTTCCTGCCAGAGTCTGTCAGTGATCAGGTAAAACACACAGGAGGCAGGCTAAAAATACAGTGGTCTGGTTGATGGTTGGGAATTGTCCTGGTTGATTTTGTTTGGTTTACATAGGCACTACAGTGACGATTATGTTTACATCAGTTTTTGAGTGTTTCACCTGATGGTCTGTTGCATTTACCTATGTGCTACAGTGATAATCATGCTTATTTTGTTTTCTGAGTCTTTCACCTGATACTTTGTCTACATGCTAATTTTAGGTGCATCTCTCAAGTGCGTCTACTTCTGCTATAAATGTCCAGGTACTCATAATAGAGGTATCTGTGTTTGACCAACTGCCTTGGTCTGTAGCTGGAGACAAACTGTCCACAGGTGCAGCTGGGACTGACTTATGTTCAGCAACTTGATCCTTCCTAGGTTTCTCTCTTTACTAGTTAACACCAAAGCACAGCAGCTTCTCATGGGCAGCAGAGCAAAAAAGAGGGAGCAGGCTTCATCTGGGGCGGTCAGGTGACCACACAGGCCTTGCTGTGTGGCAGCCTGCCTTCCAGTCAGAGCAGGGCAGATGGAGATGAACAGAAGGACAAAGCATCTTGCGGAGTATTTGGAAAAAGCATCTGCTAGTGTATTTTATGAGAGTAATCAGCCTTCCTCTGCTAGAGGTTGAAAAATGTTTGGGGTGCGGGATGTTTAGGTTTTCACACTTCCCATCTGTGGCTGTTGGCAGACCTTTGAATAGATGGAGACTTTTAAGGGACTGAATTGGCTGGGTGGATTGTTGTACTAATTTGCAGTCGGTAAAGGTTTGCTGAGAACAGCGGGTGGGAACAGCTGAAAGGGTTTTTTTTTGGTCTTTTTTTTTTTTAAATCAATACTGATCCTGTTCAGGGGATTAACAAAGTAGTTGGAAGTAGGCTGGCATAATTTAATTCCAGTGAGACAGCAAAAAGCAGCGCCTGTTAGGCCACCACTATCGAGATTTACCTGGAAATCTTTTTAGGTGGTTGCTGAGTGTCAGCAAGTGGCAACTGCTTATATGCATAGCTTAAAGCAGCTATGAAACAGCTATTCCTGCTAACTGCTGTGAGGCTGTTTAATAGCTGTGGTTCATTTATTAATTGGTGCCGTTAGCCTGTGCTGAGAATGCCAGTATCTGCTGTGCTGTGGAGATGGCCTCTCCACTAGAGGGCTGACTGTTACTCATGGGAAGCATTCCTCCTCCTGCCGGGTCTGAAGTGAATAGTGACTACTTGGGCTAAAAGTGCTTAAGAGTCATTACTGCATTGCTGCCGTCCTGTCCAGGATGTTTGTCTCCAGCTTGTTCAGTGTGCTTTCCTCAGTACATTTACAGCAGTAATGCTCGCAATTAGAGACTAAGCTTTGCAAATCAAAGCCTGTCCTGCCTGGTTCTTTTCCAGAAGTCTGTTCTGCTTGGTTCTTTTCCTTTTGACCCCTTTCTCATCATAATGCATACAGTTGCAGGCAGGTATCAGGTAGCAACAAATGATGTAGTTGTGTGATTAGTGTAGTGCTGAGTCCTTTTCAGTCTGCAGAGCTCCAGCCTCTGCTTCATCAGTTTGTTACTGGAATGTTTAGAGTAGTGTACAAGACTGCGTGCTGAAGTCCATATCTTCCTCTTCTAAGGCTTTAACAGAATTTCTCAACCTGTGTTTTGTTACAGTGCGTTCAGTTTGTGGATCAGTATGAACCCATGGTTGTGCAACTCTTGGCGGAAATGATGGATCCCACTTTCGTTTGCACTGTGAGTATTGCATATAGTTCTATTGAGTGTAGGCTCCAATAGTGTTGCTTGCTCTTCTGTATGCCTTTCAGTGTCTAGCATGCACTAACTGCTGGAATAAAAATCGTCATGCTGAATGCTTGGAGCAAATGTGTTTGTGCAAAGCCTCAGGCTTACTGAATGGACAGCTGTCTGACTGCCAGCCTTGTGCAAGGAAGGATAGAGAAAAAGCGATGCCAGTGGTTATCTGCTGTTGAGGTTCAGTAGTAGTGTGCTTTCAGTGTGATGAGAAGCTAAATGACATTTATTGAAAAAGCTTCCTTTCTAGAAGCTGTTTCTCAGAACTTTATACAAAGAAGCCCTTGTGGTAATTTAATTCTTCCTTGTGTCAGATTACTGCTTCGTGTTCAGCTGCAAACATGACTGCAGTTGTCAGTGGAGCGTAGTGCTGTGGGAGCTCCTGAAGCTCAGTCAGGTAGAATCTCAGATGTAAGGCTGGAGTTGAGATCTCTTGGTGCAAATAGACGATGCTGACAACTGCTGTTGTTTTTTTCAGAAACTTGGAGTCTGCGGATCAGCTAAGCAGCCTCTCCTGGGGGATGATGCTTGTGTTTGGGGTCCAGGTTACTGGTGTAAGAACATGGAGACTGCTGCTCAGTGCAATGTATGTAAAGCAGGATTCTGCCTCAAGTTTTCTATTGGTCCTTGATAGCTACTTAAAAGTGACTTTTCCAGCTTCTACACTATGCTTTCAAGTGGATGAGCTCCAGCTTCAGGAATCAAAAGGGTACTAGCTAGAGATGGTTGAGTTTGATTAGAGGGTCTTGCATAGCCCTTAACTTTATTAAAGATGGCTTCCCCTCACTTTTGTTCTGATCTGCCACCTGTCTGCTAGCATTTCAGAATCTATAGTAACATACAGTGTGAGCTTTATATTTAGTCTGTTCTTGTGTCCAACAGATCATGTCACGACCTCTCATCAGGCTCTAAAATTTGGCTTCCAGTGTTGTGGGCTGATGCTTTCTTTGCCACACCTTAGTGGCTAAGGGTCATCAGCATTCTTTCCTGAAGCTTCTGGGTGGGGAGGAGGATGTTGTTTTAGTCCTCTCTGGAAACACTTATTTTCAGAGAAAGAGATTTGCCCCCAAGATCTTGGCTCAGGACAGGGTACTGGATTGTATGTGTAGATGCACGCTTGTTTGCAACAGGCTTTTTTCCACTAATGTACGCTATTTCTTTCCCTTTAGGCTGTTGATCACTGCAAACGTCATGTGTGGAACTAGAAGAAGAATTTCCAGTTCTGAAAGTTTGCCATGGCTCTTAAAAATTTGGGCCGAGGTTGGCGGAGAGCTGTATCTCAAATGTCCCTCCTCTCTGCCTCATTAATAATTTGACCTTCAAGTTCTTTTATTGTAACTCTTCTGTAGCAGTGCTGCTGTTGAAGGATCAGATCTTCATTGTCAACTTAACAAAGATATTTTTGATTGTACAGTTTAACTCATTATGCTCCTAAAAAATAGTCAGTGTGTTGTAGTTTTTTAATTGATAGGCTGAAGTGTTTTTTAGGTGCTGGAAAGAATGGCAGAGAAAGTGAAATGAGACAAGGCTATTATCTTTTAATTCAAAAAAAGAACAAGATGGTGACTAAATTTTAATATGTCTTTCTGTAGTCAGCATTGGGAAGATTACATGCTTTGCATTTTTAACATCTGGGTGGAATGGTCATTTTTGGTGTAGCCCTAAGGAGCTCTTTAAGGGATAATGCTGAACCTGGGAATCTCTTCGGCTGGAATTTTCAAAGCTCTACAGATGCAGAGAAGGGGCTTCTTGTGTCCAGCTAACTTTCAAAGTAACTCGTACCTAAAAAAGATGCATTTGCATTTGAGTGACCATGCTTATAGCTTGTTGTAGTGTTACAGTTAAGGAAACCCTCCTTCAACCTTTGATCATGTCCTTTATATTTCCTTGAACTACTTGATATAAGCATGGGTGTGCTACTGTCAAGCCCTGTGGGATTTCAGTCTTCTGAAGCATGCTGATGTACTTAAGGAATGGCTCCCTTTTTTCTTACCCTTGTTGCTCAATTCTGCTTAGTCTTGCAGCTTCCTACATGCAGCCAAATGGGTGCCAAGGAGGTGGAGTGAGCTGGGTCGGTAGAAGATGGGGCGAGGGGGGGGAAAGTCAGCAGGGGCTGTGCCTGTGACAAAAGCGAGTTCAGCATAGAGGGCAGAGTGCAGAGAAAAATGGGTTTTATTGTAAACCGCCAGTGTGTTCCTCAGTCTGTTTTTGTTCTTGTGGCATATTTTGGTTATGTAAAATTTCAGAGGCACTGTGAGGCTCACAGGCAGTTTCCATTGCTGTCACCCATTCTCACTTGACATTCACCTTTCTGAGTACCTTAAAGTATAAATTTTTTTCCAGAGCTTCCATTTCTGTTGGGAAATGTGTCTGAGTAGCAAGCAGAGATGGCAGAGTTAAGAGCACTGTAGTAGGTATTTGGCAGCTCTGCTGGCATACCTGCCAACCTGCTTTTCACGCCTCTGCAGCATCCCACTGAAATGGTCTGAACTTCTGAACAAAAGCCTTTTGAGACAGGCTGCTACCCTGGAAACAAGTCAGGCCCTTGAGGTGTGTAGGGGCCTCGAATGAGAATCATGCTTACATTGCTTGAGAATGGACCTTGTACTGCTTAGCAGCATGTAGTACATGGTTCTGGTCAAGTTAACCCCCAAAACAGAGGCACCACAAAGTAGCTCTGAGGAAGCCTTTTGGAAGGAGAAGCTTGGCAGAGGTGGAGCTTTGAAAATTCCAGTCCTGTTCAGAAAGGAGCTGGCAACTGCTGCTGTTCCCTGTGGTGTCTTGGGTGAGGCAGGAGCTCTGGTAACTGCTTTAGAAGCAAGCAAGGTAATTTTCATGCTGTTTTAATGAAAAAACACTTGACTGCAGCTTTTTTAGTTACTACATGTACATGCTAAATGTCTGGGCAGTGTTGACAGATAGCAGTACTGGTTTGTCTTTCCTGTTTGCATTTGTACAGAACACTGAAGCACTCGTGGCTCTAAAAAGGAAAATAATTTCCCCTAGAAATGTAAAATATCTGCAGCTTTCTGTCTTGGCAGGCTTGTGCAGTGGTTCCAGTGGTGTATCCCAGGTGGGGTGGATATGCCGGATAGGAGGAAATGAGCTTTCTTCAGCATTGCTGCCCTGAAGGTACAGGTTGGGTTACACTACAGCATGTAGTATGGTATTTGATCTTTTAAACTAGATGGTGTTCTCTTAACATGATGGATTGAGACTTGCTCTTCCATGTTGGCAAGGCTTTAATTTTCTTGGGTTTTTAGCAGTGGAGGATTATGCTAGCAGCCTGTTGGTAGAGCTGAAGTGGGAGAAATCCTGTGCTACTGCTGGGAGTCTTAAGTCTCCTTTCCTGTGGCCCATGGCACCTGACCTGCTTGAGTTACGCTAGGGGGACACGTGCTTTCTAAAGAACATTGTCTTGATTTTTGCACAAAAGCTTCCTTAATGAACAATAAAAACCTCTGTAAACTGATGTGTTTCATTTCTTTACTGTGTGCTAGTTGCTGAAGGGTCTTGCTAGCTTCCCCTTTCCTGCAGAGTCAGGAGGAGGCACATCCCAAAACATCAATGGGAATCAGGGTGAATGACAGGACTCTAATTCCCATTGAGTTGCCATTGCCTTACAGTATGCATGTCCCATCAAGCCTTTGCTATATTGAGCACAGATGCAGGCTAGAGGCTTGCCAGGGATTGCACTGCTGTTCTCTTCCCTGGACAAACACAATGCCTGATGTGAGGCAACAGTCCCGTGTTGCAATTCCTCTGCCTGGTGTGGGCTGGAGGGAGTTCTTGCTGAAGCTGCTTGATACCAGGCTTCAGTGCTGACTTGCATTTAATGTGGCTGCTTCCCTTTTGTCTTCATTCCTTGCTTTGTTTTAAACAAAATGTGACTTAAAATGTTTTAAGCAAACTATGAGGCTACCTCTCAATACCCAGTTAATTCAGTTGTCCTAAACTTAGTGGTCTTTAGTATCTTCACTGCTGACTTTTTTTTGTAAGGGCTGATGCATTCATCCCTTATGAATGCATCATAAGGGTGAATTTTGTGAAGAGCATGGGAAATAGCTGCATTGCATGGTGTTAGGACACTTCTCCCTGGTTGGGTCTACACTTTGCAGCCAGGAATAGTTAGTGTTGAGCAGCAGGTTCTGGGCTGGTTTTGACTTCCCGGGAATACCTGCCTGGCTCTGGTCCCTCCCTCTACTTGCAGGCTGGTGATGATGATTTTATAATCAAGCCATAAGGAGAGGGGTGTGGTAATTGCCCTGTGTGGGTGTGGGTTCTCACTACTTCTCCCAACCCATCCAAGATCCCTCAGTCTGGGAGCAGCACAGGAGAGGAACCAGCCACTGAGGACTATCTTAGGAACAGCATGGAGATCAAATGGAGTGGCTGGGTGCTGCTGATCCTTTCTGTGTGCCTGGGCTCCTACCAAGGTAAGGCCAGGCATGGGGGTAGGACTCAAGGAGAGCCCAGAAAACCCCTCAGAACCCCAAAACTATTTGCAGCTGTGGTGTTTAAGCTCCGTAGCATGCTTCCTCGCCCCTCTGTAGCGGTGGAGTTAGGCTAGAGGAGAGTTGAGGCTGGTGGCACTACTGGCTGATTGACTTCTTGCCTACCTGGACATGAGCATTGCAACTTCTGCCCTTAGTGATGATGTCAGGGCAAAAAGTGGTTTGTTCCCTCCCTTTGGACAGCAGGGCTTCAGATGGAGCTGGTGTTCTGCAGTGGTATAGAAGGGAGGCCACTTGACGGGGTGTCTTAGCAGTAAGGGGGGAGAGGGCATTGGGACCTGGCTGTGTATGTGTGATGTGGGAGAAACTCACACCAGACTTTGTTCTCCTTGCATGATGGAGTGACCATGGTGCCACCTGAAGCTGTCCTGCTCATCACTGGAGCTTTGAGTATCTGTGAGCAAATCCTCCTGCAGCTGATCTTGTGCTGCTGTCCCCTAGGCCTCCCCCATAAGAGTGAGGAAGTGATACCTGGCTCTTTCCCTACCCCTCACCAGCAAACCAATTGTGAAGAGCCTGGTTCTGGAGTTCTGGGCCTTGCTTGAAGGGAATTCACTTACTCCAGGGGCCATTTCCCTAGGGAAACTGTGGAGCTCTGCTGTTGTAGTCAAAAAACCCCAACCTTTTAGGGGGAAGAACCTCTTTTGCACCCTACCTTACCCCAGGCTCAGCCTATCGGGCTCCTCTGGCGTGACCTGCCTCGGTGCTGGCTTTGTGGTGGAGGCGTGACTGCACACACATGGCCTGGCAGTTGGGTGCACAGCCAGCAACAGGCCGAGCAGGAATGCGCACCTGTGCTTGGTATGTCCGTGCTTCTGGGGATGCCTGCCCTGGGAGCCGGTGGAGGCTCCTGTGGCAGTGGTTGGGCTGCACAGCGCTGTGTCTATGGGACCGGGGCCCACTGTCAGCCTTGGAGAAGGATAGTGATGCTGGGAAGAGTGTATTTATGATTTTTTGCTGTAATAGGGGTGTGGACCAGGGCAGGAACTGGGGCGCTGGGGCCCACACCGCCACCCCCAGGCTTTACATCACAACCTGCTCGCCAGGCTCTGCCGGCTCAGCCAGCGTGTTCCGGGGCTCCTTGTAATGCTGCCATAGCCCTGCCAGATGTGGAGCTTGGTGCTGGATCCCCCTGAGGAAAGCCCAGCCCACCCTGGGGGCTGGCAGCCGGGGATAGGGTGCTCCTGGCTGCCCTGGGGACACTGCATCCCTGCTTACCCTGTGCTCCGTGCTGCAGCTTCACTGAAAATGGCATCAACCGGCGTCCTGCTGCATGGGTGCCTGTCAGCATGAGGCTGCTCTGGCACAGCTCTGAGATGTGGAGGAGAACTCACAGGGCACCAGTTGCCCTGGTTCCTTGCCCCGTGGTGATGCTTTCCACCTGCTCCTCCTGCTCTCAGTAGTTGGGTGTTGTGATTAGTATTAATTATTTTTGTGGCCCTTCACTTGCCTGAGTTTCAGCTTGAGCAGGGCAAGGAGTAGGCACTGAGCTGTGAGCCACAGAGGTGTGAGTCCAAACCACCAGTGTCTTTTAGGACACGTAAATCCCCTTACGCTGTCACTGGCAGCATCCTTATGCTGTTGGTCTGGGCTGTGTCTGTGGGTCAGGCAGGACCAGCTCAGAAAGAAGCTATGGGTTTGTTGCCTCCCCTCTCCTTTTTTTTTGGAGCTGCCGCATCATACTTCCGCTGACTCGCCATTCCTGTTTGCCCTGACGCTGGTGCCAGAGTTAAAAACCTAAATGTCTGTCTCTCAGCTGATGCAGCGACCACGGCATCGTGCTGCTGGAGAGAGAGCTGTGTGGGAAGGCGTGCATGGGAAGCAGGGGGGACTCGCCCTGCCCCTGGGCTCACTCATGCCCCAGTGCTGCCGTCAGCCCGATGGGGTAATCACTGCAGAAACACCACAGAGGCACCCTCTGAGCTGCGCCAGCGTGTTTGGGAGCAGTGGGGCTGGTAGGGGGCTCAGGGGTTCCCTGCCCACAGCTCCCACTCCCGGGGACTTGCTGGGGTGGCCCCCGGGCGTTTCAAGCCACTGCCCCAACATGTCCCACGAATGAGCCAAAGGTGTTGCCAAAATATGGCATGCAGGAAAACAGCTTTTGGGGAGAAACCTGATAAGGGCAGGGTGGGTGGAAGGAGCTGTTTCTGCCTTTGGCTTTATTCCTGCTATGCAAGATCATAGGGCCAGGGCTGAGTGATAAAAGTTGTATGCAAATGCTCTGGGGGAAGAGGGGATGTTTGCTTAGACAAGGGTATGCAGCAGGGTCTGTCTGTCCATGTGCTGCTCCCCACGTTCCCCCTGGAATTCCAGAGCAGCTCCTGCCAAAGCAGGGTAGCGAAGGGCCTGGGTTGTGCTGGCTTCTTGCCTCCTGCCCAGCTGCATCTTGGGTGAGCGCAGCCCCTGCTGGGAACAAACCCTCGCCCCATCCCAGATGAATCCTGACACGCCGAGGTGGCAATTAAACCAGTGGCATTGCACCATACCACCATGCTGCTTGGGCAGCCAGGGTGGGCGCCGCCACTGTGCCAGGGATTTTCAGCCAGGAGAAAATGCTGGCGTTGGGAGGAAATGGAATAAAAATAACAACCCAAAGCAGGGTTGCTCAACCATTGCCGGGAGCCGCGGCGTGGCTAACCGGCTGCTGCGCAGGGCTGCGTGCCGGCACCCCGTGTGGCTCCTTCTGCAAGATTTATTGACCTTTATATGAGCAGCCGCCTCCCCAGCGCGTTGAAGGGTGCTGTGAGGCTGAGGGTGATGATCCCCAAGTTCGCTTTGCTTTTGGCACGGGCCCAAAGCTGCTGTGACACACTGTTGGTAAAGCTGGCAGCACGCGCTGGCCCGGCAAAGCCTGCCTTTGCTGGGCTTATAAAATCATTTAGAAAACCCAGCAACCGCACCACCATTGCGAAAGCTGAGGGTGAATCACAGTGGGAGGGTAAAGAGCATCACCCCAGCTTGCGGGGCAGGGTGGTGGAGCGGTTGGTGCAAGGCAAGAGAGATGGTCTTGGGGTGCTCTTGGGGCACTGATGGTTTTCTTTCCTCCCTCCCAAAGCTGAGGCCAGCCCCCTCCACGAGTGCAGCAAGCGGCCAGAGGACTGGTGCCGCGATGTGGTGACAGCAGCCAAGTGTGGGACGCTGCAGCTCTGCCAGATCTCCGTCTGGGACCAGGCTGTGGGGGTAATTGAGCCAGGAGGCAGGGATGCAGGGGCATGGAGTGATGTGTCCATCCTGACTCCAAGTGTAGGGCTGGGGGAAGAATCCCAGCCTGGCCAGCTCAGTGCTGGGTACCCAGAGGAGCATTGGCTGATGGTGTCAGGCAGCAGTATGTCTGCAGAGTGAGCAGCAAAAAAGCATTGGTGCTCCAGGGTATTCCGAAGTGCCCCTTGGTGGGGTGTTTCTGGAGGGATCAGAAACAGATCTGGCTTGGGATCTGAGGAGCAAGTCGTGGGTCTGGGTGTTGTGGCAACATCCGCTGTGTCCTCTCTCTCGGCAGAAGGGAATCCCATGTCACCTATGCCAGATGGCAGTCTCTGTGGTAGGCAAGATCCTGCAGGACAACCGCACTGAGGTGGGTCACAGCCTGGCATGGAGTGTGGGTCTGGCTTGTCACTCCCACACCAGTGGGGGCCACCTATTCCTGAGCTCTCCCCTTATTACCTAGGAAAAGCTGCGGCTCTTCTTGGATAAGAAATGCCAGTACCTGCCCTTCCAGGACTGGTCTGTGAAGTGCAAGAGGATGGTGGACACCGGCATCCTCATCCTCGTCCAGCTGGGCAAGCAAGTGCTGGTAACTGGTGGCGACCCCTTTGGGTTTGTGTTTACCCATGGTTTGGGGTGTCCTGGGGGCTTGAAGAGCAAGGGAGGTGCTTGGAGCCTGGGACAAAACCTCCATGGGAATGAGGTGGGGATGGAAATGACCCAGGCTTGGTGGCTGAAGGGAGGAGGGTGATGGGGCAGATGCAACTGCAAGCCCCCATCCCTCTGCTCCCCCAGGCGGACCCGAAGGTGGTGTGTGGGACCATCAAGCTGTGCCAGCCTCGGGAGAGCCCCACAGGAGCCCTGAAGTTTCAGGAACCACCACCAGCCCCTGCCGGCCCTGCTCAGGACTTTGCTGACCTGGTTACTCCCTTCATCACCAACGTGCCCCTCCTGCTCCATCCCCAGGACCTGCCTCGTGGTGAGGCTCAGGTACTATGGCACGGGCAGGCGTGACATTGATGCTGCTCAAGGGTGAGAATCAGCAAAGCGGCACCCACTTAACAATCATTTTTAAAAAACATTAAGCTTACTGTACAGCTGAAATGGCACCTGATTAGGGGTGTCACCAGTTTTGGGTTGGGATACTGCAGGAAGCAGGGCTGGGACCAGAGAGATGCTGGTCAAAAGCTGCCTCAGATTGAGACCGGGCATTTAAATCCCAGCCTGGAAAATGGAGGCACTGGAGGCCACTCAGTTTTATTTCTGGGACCTACTGAGGTGTTCCTGCCCATGTTATCCTGCAGGAGAAGGAAGAGGTGTGTGAGGAATGCCTGCGGCTGGTGGCCGCTATGCAGCTGGAGCTGGGGACCAATGCCGCCTTCACTCAGGCGCTGGTGGCCCGCACTGAGTGGGCATGCGAGGGCCTGGCACCCAACCTGGCACAGCAGGTAAGGGTGCTGTTGTCATGCTGGGCATGCGACCGTCTTCTGCAGCTTTTGGGCATCTCCCCGGCAGACTGTGCTGTGGGCAGAGTGGGGGGGTGTCTGTCCACCCCTGTGTGCTGACATTGTGTCTCCCCTGCACAGTGCAAGCACTACCTGGCCGAGTACATGGACACGGCCGTCCGGCTGCTCCAGTACATGGTAAGTGGGTGAGCAGCTCCCCGGGGCTGCCAGGGATGGGTGGGTGCTGGTGGGGGGGTGTGTGTCCCAAGCAGCACAGCCAGTGGGACCTCATCAGCAAGTGCAGGGCCCTACTCTTGTCTTTTTAGTTAACCCCCACTGCTTTATATCCCTACAAATAGTTTTCCCCTCTCTCTGGCTTACAACTGTTGTAATTCCTATTTATTGTCTCTTTTTCTTTCCATTTTCTGGTCCCTCCACTGGCAGCTGGCTGAGGTAAGCGAGACCCATGCCCCAACTGGCTGAAATCACCCTCCACTGGGAACTGAGGGCACAGACTTACCCTCCTGGGGGTGATGCCCACCTGATTTAAGACGTCTCTCCCAGGACCCCATGGAGCTGTGTGGCCAGCTGGGACTCTGCTCCTCTTCCTCACTGCTGCCCTTCCACACACTGCTCACAGAGAAGATGATACAGGTCCTGAGCACGCTGTGGGTAAGCGGGGACCTCTCCTGACTCAAACATGCTCCTTCAAATCCAAATGCTGGGAAGGAGGAGCCTTATTTTACTTCTTCTTTTCCCCTCAAGCATCTCCATTTTTCCAAGGTGGGGAATATCTTTTGTGGGGGTTGATGGCTGGGTGGGATGGGGGCAGCGCTGGCGGGGCTCAGTGTGCATCCCACTGCCTTTTTCCCACAGGACAGGGAAGGGACCACTCCACTGTGTGAGATGTGCCAATTTGCTGTGAAAGCGGCCGAAAGCCTCCTGGAGAACAACGTGACGGAGGTGAGCTCTGCTGCTGCTGTCCAGGGATGGGGGCACTGGGAAAGGGGGCAGCAAGGAGTGGGGTTTTCTCTCTGCCTGCCTTCTCCCGGCAGGAGCAACTGGTGAACGACATCGAGAAGGTGTGCTACATGCTGCCCCACAGCGTCATCGGGCAGTGCAAGGACTTCGTTGACTCCTATGGCAAAGCCGTGGTCATCATGCTGCTGGAGGCCACCGACCCGGCGGCTGTCTGCACCATGCTGCGCTGCTGCCCCCGGAGCGGGGACACCCGCCGCGGTGAGCTGGGGGGCCCGGGTGGCACCCAGGCACCATGTCCCCGGGGAGAGGGGTGCTAACACTGCTAACACAGGCCCCGCTGTGTCCCGCAGGGCCTGCCATGCTGGAGCAGCTGGCAGTGGGTGCGGGAGCATTCTGCAACGTCTGCCAGATCATCATCACGTACTTTGACAACGAGCTGCTGAAGAACGAGACGCTGTCGGAGCTGGGTGACATGCTGCAGAAGGGCTGCGAGCTGCTGCCCGCACCGCTCACTGGCACGGTGAGCTGCGGGGAGTGCCTGCCCGGTGGGGACCCCCTGACACACCTCACTGTGCTCACCCCTCTCTCCTTCCCAGTGCGAAGCACTCGTGGTGCAGTACGAGCCAGAGGCTGTGCGGCTCTTCGTCCAGATGATGGACCCCACCTTCGTCTGCACTGTAAGTGTCCCTGGGGCAGCCCCGACCCACCCAGGTGGGCATCCTTTGTCCCAGCCTGGGGGTCTGGGAGAGGGGCAGTGGGATAAAAGGGTGCTCATGGGTTTTCTTCTTCCACCTCCCATCGTTTGCCATGCAGAAAATAAAAGCTTGTGACTCATCCGAGGAGGATCTCCTGGGCTCAGACCTCTGTGCCTTGGGCCCGCAATACTGGTGCAAGAACATGGCCACAGCGATCAAGTGCCAGGTAAGTGCTGGCCACATCTCCTCCCCTGGGTTTGCAGTGAGCCAGGAGACCCTGCCTCCCACCATCATCCTTACCCGTCTCTCCCACAGGCTGTTGAGCACTGCCAGCGTCACCTATGGAACTAGGAGTCACCTCCTCGGCTGGCTGTGCTTGCCCTGCTATTTTGGTTCAGGATCCCAGATACCCTCCCTTGGGATGCGCCTGCACCCGTGGATGGCAATGGCAGGAGCCCACCAGCCTGACCATCCGGGCAGGGGCTGTGGGGTGACCCAGACACTTCTGCCACTTCCTTTTCCATCCCTGCCGTTTGGATTTCTAAATCGGGTTAAGGGACTCATTGGTATTTTCAAGACTGAGGATTCAGCCTTGTTGTCTCTCAGAGTCCTTGTAAAATCCCCATCCCCACGTCTATCCCCATCCCCCTTGTAAGACCTACATCCTGCAACGTGAACAGGCTGGAATGGTTTCTGCTGCCCAAATGCTAGACAAATCCTGGCAGCTGGCAGCCAGCAGCCTCACACCACAGGTCTTGTCAGCTTTTGGCAAGCCCAGCACTTTGCTGGTCCCTCTTCGAATTGGTGTGGCTTTCTTTTACACCTCCCTTCCCCCTCTTGCCCTATAAAGAAACACAGTGGATTAAATTTACAGATATATATATACCTTAAGTATTCCCTGAACAAAAAATGAGTGAGTTTGGGGGCAAACAGTCCCTTTCACCCACACATCCTTGCTGGTGCCCCTGTGCTGACCCAGCTGTGGTAGAGAGGGGCAGCGGGGCACTGGCTTATCCCTCCGTGCTGCAGGAGGGAGACGCCCGCAGTGCCCAGTCCTGAGCGTGCATGGGAGCATCTCATTGAAAATAAACTCTTCCCATGAGCGCAGCTGGTTGTCTCCCTCCTTCTTCTCCTGGTGTGTAAGATGGGGCAAACCTGTGGGAGGTTTAATGCTTCCCACGAAATTTGGGCTGCAGCAAAACCTGGGGCAGCATCTCTTGTGAAGGTGATGGGTTGAGGGGTGAATTAAAGGGAAAAGGGCGTTTTCTCTTCAAAAGGTCTTTTCAGTAAGCTGAATCCAGGAAGGGAGGAAGGATGACAGACAGGTTACCCAAAGCCATAGACAGTGTATTTCTGAGTCCCGTAACAGATCGTGCCCGAAACTCTCCACAAGGTTACGACTGGAAACAAATCCCCAAATGAATGAACCCAAAATAAAGAGAGAAGGGGAAAGAAAAGGGCAAGAAAAAACACGCACGAGCACTCCACATCCAGAAGCCCCAGTTATTGTCAGTCGCTTTCAACATCGCAACATGTTTTGGTAAAGCCAGCAAAATGGAGAAATGTTTTCCGGTTTGGTTTGGGGTTTTTTTGGGTCTTTCCTTGTTGGAAAGGTGCTGTTAATGCCAAATGGACTTGGCCTCTCCTCACACTGCCTGGCCCTCCCTGTGCCTGTGGTTGAGGCTTGACCCCGGTCCACACCCGGGGATGCGGCACATCATCTGCACCTTTGCTGCACCTTCACCCCTGTCCAGCCTGGACTCATTGGATTCATTTTGCTTTTTTTTTTTTTTTCTTAAAAAAAACCCCTTTTTAATAAGAAAAAATAATAAAAAAAATTAATGCTTTCATGGATAAATGACAGGCGAGTAAAAGCATACCAGTCCTGAGAGCCCTTTCCTGGGGCCAAGCTCTCCAAGGCTGCCGGAGCTATGCGCACCGGTTGGCCTGGATTCGTGCAGGGGTAGGGGGGGCCAAGCGCTGGTCTTGGGGTACCCCTGGCCCTCACCACAACCCCCTGATCTGTGCTTCATCCCCGCCGGCCCCAGCTTGCCTAGAGGAGCACCACCACCAGCACTGCTCGTCATAACTCTGTGATCTCCAGAGGGCTCTCCATGATCACCTCCCGCATCTTGTGCAGGGGGGTGGACTTGGCCGACTCAGTGCGGGCGTTGTGGTCACTGTAGCCCCCGCAGTCGGTGGTCAGAGTCTCCAGCGAGCGACCCAGCACCTTCTGGTCGTCCTCGGGTAGGCTGTTGAGGTCAGAGGCGAGCAGCGTGCCCGTGCTGCCGTGCACCACGTGGATGCCATCGGGACCTTTCAGCTCCACTGGCTGCTTGTGACGGAAGCGGAGGCTGCCTTGGCTGGGGCTGCGCTCCCCCTCCTCCTCCTCCAGCTCCTTCTGGATCAGCTGTAAAAAGTCCATGGAGCAGAGAAATCACTACTGTGTCCAGAGCAGGTCCTGCTTCCTGCCTCCAAACCGTCTGCAATGCTGGAGCTCAGTGGGAGGGACAGTACCCTCCTCTTCTGAAGTATGGTGATGAGGATCACCAGTGCGATGATGGTCTCCAGCCAGATTGCTCACTCATCTGGTGGGTGCACCAGCTGCCAGCCAGGTGGTGTGTCCAGCAGCAGCCCCCCGCAGCAGCCCAAGGGGATTTTGGACCCGGGCTGGGGTTTGGGGTTGTATGGGGCAGAAGGCAGACAAGGAAAGGATTTGAAGGAAGGCTGGAGGCAGATAAGGGTGAGGAGGGATAAGGGGACAGAAGGGTTGAAAAGGGTGTCTCCCATCCTTCTGCTCTCCTCTGCTCTGTATGCCCCATGTTTTGTCCTCCATGAAGAGGGGGAAGGCTGCAAGAGGAGTTGCTACTCCCCTCACCAGCCCTTCTGCACCAAACCCTCTGTCCCAGCCTTTTTGCCTCACAACTCAGATAAGCTCAGAGGAGCACAGGGGAGGGAAGGTGTTCCTGCATGTGTGTAGGGACCTGCAGCTTCATGGCCACCTTTGGCAGAGAGACAGGAGGTGATGGACAGAGCCCACCCAGAGACCGAGGGATAAGGAGCTGCTGATGCTCAGAGGGATACGAGAGCTGGAGCACTGTGGGGAACCAGCAGCCTCAGTGGAAACCCAGTGTCTGGCTTGTTTTGGCCAAGCAGAGAATGGGGAGACCACTGAGTGACGGGGACCACAGCTGCAGGAAGCGACTGAGAAGGGCTGAGAAGACACACTGCATCCCAGAGGGCACAGCAAGCATCTCCCCATGCCCATGCACACCACATCTACCTCCGAGACCGAGGAGCGGTCCCCCTGACTGGCGGTGGCCTTATGCACCATCCGCTGGGCAAAGAGTTTTTTCAAGCGCATGTAATCATCCAGGACCACCTTCAACAGAGAGCCCTGGGTGGAGGGGGAGAGACGGTGGGTTACCTGAGGGACACCGCTTGGTTGAAGGGAGGCTGACCCCATCCCAGTATTTTATGAAGCAACACCCTCCGGCACCGCAGCTGTCAACCTGGAAGCTGTAGCAGTTGGAGAAGACCCCTGGGTGGAGGATGCCCACGCTCAACACTCACCTTGATGGGTCCCTCCCGCATGATCTGCCCCAGCTTGGCGATGTTGTCGTACTCCTGGATGGCTGCCCGCAGGTAGCGGTCATCCTCGGGCTTGGCTGCAGAAGGCTCTCTCCCGAAGGTCCCCTGTGGGAGGAGAGAGTAGCTGAGGCACGGGCCTCGGGCACAGCACGAGGGGTCCTCTGGGGGCCGTGTCTCACATGGGTGCGGGCAGGGCTGTTCCAGAGGTCAGTGATCTCACTCAGGTTCTCCGGCAGGTCATCCTCGTGCTCTGCCTGTGCTGCCAGCTCCATGTTCCTGCAGAAGGGGTCCAGCCATACCGGGTTGGCCCTGCCCAGGGGAGAGGAGCAGCTCTCAGCACAAGGAAGGAGCCGCACCATCCGTAACCCCATCCAAAGCCCGGATGCTGAGGTTGTGCTGCCTCCTCCTGCCGCGTGGGGGCATGAATTCGGCTGATCTGGATCCAGAGGTGTGTCGACACCCACTGGTCATCTCTGCTTACCCCAAGCCTGGCCAGTATTGGCAGAGATGGAGCCACAGGGGAAAGCACAAGGTCTTTTGGCTTTGAAAGCTCTCAAGGCAAGCAGCCATGGCATGCCTGGCTGCATCCCTCTGCAGAGCAGAAAGGCACAGCATCTCCACATCCCAAGCATCTCTGGCTACAAAATGCAGGCATCCCTCTCATGGGAGCAGCATGTGATCCTGCAAGGTGGCAAACCAGGGAGGGGAAGGAAAGGGAGAAACTCACCCATCAAAAGAGTACTTGTTGGTGTTTGGCATGTCCATGATGTCCATGAAACCTCTGTTTCCTGAGAGAAGCAGGGACGGGAGTTAAAGAGTGGCATGTTGGTGGGCTGAGCAGTAAACCATAGGGCAGCATTTCTTTATCAGGGACGGAAATTCAGTGACCAGAAAGGCACTGGTGGCATGAGAAGCATAGTGGGATGCAGCTGGTAATGCGGAGCCTGGGAGCTGAGAAAAGCCTCCCACCCATGGGCCTTGCTGGGCAGGATCACTTCGAATTTACACCCCACAGACATCCCCCATGTCACCCCCTCCATGCTCTTTATGCACCCTGCTATCTCATGCATCTGGAAAACCCCAAACACTGCTCACCAGTGGAGCCAGCCACTATGGCTTTCAATTTCCTTTTGTGCCTGTGAAGGAAATACAGCGAATCAGGGAAGAAAATAAAGAAGATGCTCCAAAGGAGAGGGGGACACAGATTTGTAATAACCCTGCAAACAGCCCCTATATCTATAAGGTGGCATGCTTGGGGGGGAGAGCTGCTATCACTATTGAAGCCATTATACTTTGGGGGAAGAGGGGCAATTTCTGAACTAGGCTGAATCGTGGCACAGAATGTGTTGGGAAGCTGATGACCTCCTTTGCTTACTGGCATTGTCAGGGCTGGGAGCAGCTACATGGGTCCCCCTGGCCAGTGAGGCAGAGCCTGGGGGTTACTCACACTGTCCGGTAGTACCAGTTCATGAGGATGAAGAGCATGGCAGCCAGAAAGAGCAGGATGGCCAGCACGATAATCGCCATCTAGGAGAGCAAAGGGGTAGTGGCAACCTCCGGTACCCAGTGATGGGCACTCTCCTGAAATTATCTGGGTGAAACGTATCTCCAGATCACGGAGGGCCATGGAGGATGGGATGGGACATCATTACCCCACCTGCAAACAGCAGCCATCTCCACTCCAGCTGGACCATTACCTGCAGAGCTGAGAGGTCGTCTGGGGCCTGGGCAGTGATGGCAGGCTGCACGTCCAGTACATTGTAGTTCCTGAAGAGGTTCCTCAGCTGCTCCTTGTTCTCATCTATCATCTGAATCACCCTGGGAAGAGAAGGGTTGCTTGGGCATCTTGACATTAATGAGGCTCCCCAAGGACCCAACGGGCCAGGATATGGGTTGGGTGACAGGCCAGGTGACATACCGCTCCACATCCAGGATGCGGTTGGTCTCCCTGTTCACCACATGGATCAGCAGCTCTGTCTGTGCAAAGTTCACCCGACCTTTCTTGTCAACATGGAACTGGGGAGAGACAGCAAGGTCTGCACTGTGGGAGAGGTGTCTTGAAGTGTGCTCATGTGATGAGAGACCCTCAAGCATGACATGGGTTTGGACCCCTTTGATATGCCCCACCCTCATGTGTATGAGGACCTTCAGAGCTCAGGGGTTTATACCATCAAAGGACACCTTCCAAGCAGCTTGCAGAAGGTCATCTACCCCTCAAAGCAACCTCAAAGGTGGATGGTTACCTGCACATCATCTGTATTGACAATAGCACCCGTGATGTTGGACAGCAGGCTGATGAACTCCTCCTCGAACTGCCTGACTTTGTCTGGGATCTCGTTAATAATGATCTTGACCCGCTGGTCATCTCGCAGGATGTAAATCCCCACAATGGCTGTGTCATTGTGGCCCACCAGGTCAGAGGCCATGATGTCCACCACAAAGTAGCCAGGGTTGTAAGCCGTGAAGAGGTCAAAGGTTCGCAGGATCCCATCAAGGGTTCCTGGGGGAAGAACGGTCACAAGCCCAAGACTAGTGATGCTGGCCATGGGGTTGTCTTTGGCCACGGGGGTGTCTCTGGCATGCAGGGAGCGCACCTATGGTGAAGATGTTGGCGACCTCCTCAGTGTCATTGGAGTGCTGCTTGATGTAGCGGATGCCCAAGATGTTGTACAGGACCAGGCTGTTATTGCCTACATCGGCATCCACTGCAACCACTCTGATCAGCTCTGATCCCACCTTGGCATCAGTGGCAACCCCTTTGAGAGAGAGACAGGACAGGGACCTGGGGCCAGGCTGGCTCTCACTGCCCCTTCATGTGGCTGGATTTTACCTGGAGCACCACTGGCTCCTGGTTCCCCCCAGATCCCAGCACCCCTTACCCGCTGTGTACTCTGACTTGGTGAACTGGGGGGATTGGTCATTGATGTCATCCAGGAGAATTCGCACCTCCTGAAGGGTCAGGTCCCCACTAAGATCCCAGGGCTGGGCTCTGCCTGCTTGCTGGCCTTGGGGAGGGGTCCAATTCCTCTGGCTGGATGCTTTGACGATGATGGAGTAGTATGGCTCCTTCTCCCGGTCCAGGTCTTGCAAGACCTTCAGCTTCCCCTCTCGGCTCAGCTGGAAGTTGTTCTCCTGGTTCCCATCTGAGTGCAGAAAGGGGTACCCTGTTATTCCCCTTTGGGCTCAACATTTTTGAAATGCCACCTCACCCACTGACCAGGGCAGAAAGGC